ATACATTGCTTTCTTGTTGAACGCAATTATCAGGGATTGTTTGATCAAGAACAGTTTTGCTAATAAAGTGCGCAAGTTGCTATCTCTGCGTTTGGATTACCGTGCCCATCAGTGGTGATTCGGTGCAAATCGTAAACCAGTTCTTGATTAACGGGTGATAAAAATTGTATAAATTCTATCTAACAATTCACTTCAGTCTTGCTAAACGTCTTTTTGGTTGGGCTGAAACGGGAACTGGATAATGCAAGGCATTTGATTTCATGATTCATGAATATTCTTGCTTCCACTGTTCTTTTAGGCGATAAATCCTTTTCGGAAATATCTACCTATTCTTCATCATCGTTTTGAAGGAAGGTAAAAGAAAGCGAAACTCTACAGTCAAAACATAGCGTACACAGTGTCACTGTTTGCACTCCTCCCCAGACATTTCGACGTAGTAAAACATGAGAACAAAAGCTTCACTGCGGTCATTTTCCAGCGATGGCCCCCGGTGTCTTCAATCAACTAGTCACATAGTACTTTGGGCTCCATGTGGGAAGGTGTGTGACACCTACTTAATCAGTACATACTGTTCTTCACGTCATCTGTTGACCTCCATGTGATTTCCTCCAGCCCAGAGAGATAGCTGCGGTGCGGTGGATGACAATTAGACATGTATAATACGTGTTCGAATCACCAAAGCCTGATCTGAATTCGATATTATACATGATGACCCACGTCAAGATTCCTAACCAACTCACTTTGTTTAAAATCTCCGGTCTCAACCGTAACTTCAATAAAATTTCACATATGCATCAAAGGTTTTTCACTCCGATGTACGCTGCTCGAGCAGCTCGAACTAGTCGACACCGAGTCTTGCTGCATCATTTAGAATGTCCGGAGCTCACACCGGAAGGAGCGAAAGAGCCTGATGTCTGTCACAGAACGGACAGATAAGGTTTTTCAGCGTACGAAAGTTCGCACAGCCTTTCTCCAGTCGCCCATTGGATACAAACGTTCTAGAGACGAAATCGAACCGTCCTTCACGAATACCACCATAGGTCACGAGTAAGCCACTTTGTTCGGTATGGACTCAGTGAAGCAGAACTATGTGGATCGTCTTGGTGGATAACTTTCAAGGTCACCGGGATGTGAACTTTAACAATATAAGTCGTGGAGTAGTTGTTACTTTTGTCACCTCTATGTGTTGTAACAGCTCTCATCTTTTGTTTCATTTTAATACCAGAAAAATCAAATGCATTGTCATTCAATGTAAACCACGCTTTCTTGATAAATTTAATCATATGGTGCTAGCAAACATTTACATTGCCACTGACACGCTCGCTTCCGACATCCGACTCTATCTCGACACCATTCGTGGCACGCTTAGACCAGTCTTTATGCATTGTCGCTGGTGATTTTAATCTTTGGAATATTTCTTTCTTGAGCACATTATGTTTGATTAATCTTGTACACGTTCCCACTCGTTTGGAGGCCCAGCTTGACGGCATTTTTGTAAATATCCTAGAAGTCTTCGTTATAGAGTCTCAACTTCGAACATTAAACAATGCTTTTACACCCTAAAATCCATGTTAAAATTTATCACCGTCAACAGGCTCAAATAACGGCCCGGACAATAAGAGATTGAACTCTCGATAACCGAACTGCACTCAAACAGGGTTTCTTCGACTGATTTTTCTGTTTTCCTTAATTCCGATGATTCTTCCAGATGCGAACATCTCACTAATTTGTGTTGCCCCATCGAGACTTAATATATATCCCTACTGACAGATTTTCATCGCCTCTTCTATAAAATCATCGCAGTGATAAGGAAAAGGCGTGCATGAATGTCAGATGACTACCCTCTGATGTTCTCGATTCTCTTCAGTCTGCCCACAAACATTCACTTTCGACTGTTGATGGCCTTTTATGACTTCGGTTTTAAACAGGGGTGCTGAAACAGTACGTTTCATCTTTCCTTGATTATGCTAACGCCTTGGCTTCGCTTGACCAACATATTCTCATTCAACGTTTTGCTGACTGTGGCTTACGATACGACGTGTTAAACGTTCTTTTAAAATACTTCTTTCGGAACTCAATTTACTTCATGCCACGGTAAAACTTCGTTCTCCTCTATCTGACTAGCGCCAAATTATCTTGTTCGGTCGTTCCTTAAAGTACTCCGCCCAGTGATTAAACTGTTGCTCTTTATTGTGGTTAGTTTATTCGATTTTTTCGGAGATTGTTTCAGCGATCGAAACCTGGTGTTATGCAAAATTTAGAACAGCCTTTGGCCACTCCCAGAGATGGTTGTTTCTTCCATTTCACTTTATGTGGAGACCCCCTTCCCACTTTTCGCGGTCCTATTCGTGAGAAACTTATTGTTTATATAT